GGGGGGGGGGGGGGGGGGGGGAGAGAGTGTGTGTGCTTGCAATTTGTTACAACCCCCTCCATATTCAAGAATTTATACTAGTAACAATATTCTTAAAGCATGATGACATTATTATTCATACTACTGGTATTCATACAACAACCTGCCCTACTTTAAAAGTGGATCTCATTTTGTGAAGAGGCGTAAATTAAAAACATTTTACAAATGTTTGGTGCTCAGCAAGAACTTAATCAAAATAGGCCTCTATACGTTTTTTGCATAATGTAATTTTAAACTGTGGAGCCAGCCTACAAACCAGAGCTTGTAAAAAAAAGAGCGACATCAAATATTTCACAGTGGCTGTTGGGGTTGCATCAAGTTTTGAAATATGACAGCCCAGTTCAGTGGCTGTTGGGGGTTGCATCAAGCTTTGAAATATAACAGCCCAGTTCAGTGGCTGTTGGGGGTTGCATCAAGCTTTGAAATATGACAGCCCAGTACAGTGGCTGTTGCATCAAGTTTTGAAATGATAACAGACCAAAACATTTGAATTCAGTCTACCATTAACTGAGCCACTGTCTCATAGTTATTCTACTCATCATCTTCCTTGGCATTGTTATTTGAATTGTGTTATTATTTCATTGTTATTTAATTTAATATTCATAATTAGTTTGTAGTGTATGTATATTTCATATTTTTTAAATTATTCCATTAGCTACAGAACAAATATTGCACATTGTACATAACAGTGCACAGATTTCAGTTCTTTACAGGAAGTGAAAACAAACAAGCAAACAATAGATGTTCAAATTCAACGTTTATTTTTCTTTTATCACAGGCACATCCTGAAATGAAAAAAAAAAATGGTTACTGATAACATTCATTGTTTAATAATTGTGTTTATAGTGTTATTCTCTTCAAGCGATTCATTTCTGAACACCGAATGCCCTTCAAGCGATTCATTTCTGAACACCGAATGCCCTTCAAGCGGTTCATTTCTGAACACCGAATGCCCTTCAAGCGATTCATTTCTGAACACCGAATGCCCTTCAAGCGATTCATTTCTGGAACACCGAATGCCCTTCAAGCGATTCATTTCTGAACACTGAATGCCCTTCAAGCGATTCATTTCTGAACACCGAATGCCCTTCACTCTTGGGGCAGTTCCACAAACGTGGCAGAGAAAAGACTTGTAGCACATTGTGTTCGACAGCTCCTTCAGATGTTTGAGAATCTCTGGGAAAAGATGACTTGTACAAAAACTCCACTTACAATATAGGGAGAAATTAATGATAAAATCACTGGCCCCGAGTGGCATGAAAATGTCTCTCAATAAACACAGATTGTCATGCAATGATTTCTGTTTAAATCAGCATTCAGTACCAAACCCTCTGAGAACAACCCTTTAACTAGGACAAATCCATTGTGGCTGAAAGCTAAAGTAGTAATTATTTGAAACCACTATAATGTTTTTATATGGTTAGGTTTATATTTGCTCTCCTGGGGGTAAACAAAAAATAATAATTTTTCCCACGATGTGTGTAGACTAAATGTAGTGCAGGGTTCCAATTCAAATAAAAACAAAATATGTCAAGGTGTATAATCTATACGCTACTGAGTTAAAAAGTGCTGGACATTGTTTATACTAATGGTAAGGATTTGATTTCAGCTAACCATCTTAAACATCATGTACCGGTACACTGTCCAATAGGCCAATCGGGCACACAGTGTAGAAAACAGCTCATGATGTAAGGTTAATGTAATCTTATATGAGTTTAAATGAAAGCGAACAGGGGACAGGAAGCCACTCAGCATTTAACACAGGTTTTGGTTAGGGCATGCCCTTTAATAAACCTAAAGAAGGGTAAACAATTTTTTTCCCATTATATTTTCCCTTATTTTGTTTTTATTTATATTTATTTATTTAGGCATTTTTATATAGCGCTTACCATAAAGCTCTAAGCGCTTTACAATTATTAAAAACATGTAAACTAAGTAAAATAAAAATGAGACACTAGGATAGTAACTACTATGCTATAGAAACAATGAAAATGGCTATAAAACGAGGACACTTTGACCCAGGGAAGTAGTTCAAATTTAAATCTGCCATCTAAACTGTATATCTTTGGTTTCATAGCAAGTCAGTGGTCTATAACTATAACAATATTATTAACTTATTTCTTTGACCCAGCTGATGATCTGAGGAATCTCGGCATGTGTTTATTTCTTGCCCTGTATATGACAGTTTGAGAATCTCTGATACCCCTCACCTTCCCCGTGCCACCGACTAATGAAAATGAAAAACTGATGTCATCCTCTCACCATGACATCCTCCAGTTTGACATTGAGTTTGGCCAACTTCTGAGCCTGCTTCCTTGTGGATCTTCTCAGTGACCTGACAAGGTTGACCTCCGGCTTAGCTGTGTTGTGCAGGCGCTTGGCTTTGCTGTTGGGTTTCCACTTGTAGGTGTAGAATGTGTTGGCATGGACCTCACTCATGGACTTATACTCACCTGCAATGGCCGTAAAACAAAATAAGTTGAAAGGATATGGGTTTACAAGATATAATGATATGGATTTAAAACATGATCTAATGATACAGGTTTACAAAATAACATAATTACATAGGCTTGTATTAAGGTGGCTAATATTAATGCAACTACTTCAGCAAAACTATGATTAGATTGTAAAAATCCTGACTAATATTTTTTTTTAGTTGGACTACACAGAAATATGCTGTGATGTATAGGAGCTCGCAAGCACAGACAGAGCTATGCAGCTATTGACACTATCCTGCTATTATTAAGAATTGAATGAGAGGTGACTATCGTATCACCTGTGTTCAACAACAAATCCAGCGATTTGTAAAAACAATGAGCAAAGCTCACATGCTTTTTAAACTAAACTAATTAGATGTGTGCACAATAGAATTAGAATATTAGAATGACATATTAAATAAATTACAGTTTTAATTAAAAAATTTGTTAAAAAAAATAAAATAATAATTAACTGAAATCGTATTATCAGATTAAAAACTATGCTTTTCAGATAAGCTTTATGTTAACATGATTCAGGAGATGTAGATATATTACTGTAACATTAATGATAACACCATCCTTCTCTCACTTTCAGGTTTATAAACTGTTTAGCAAAGGAGAAAACCATCAAAATAATTTAATCATTTTTGAATGGATTATTTGAAGTTTCCCCTTAAGCTCAGTTCAGTCAATGTTTGACCATCCAAATTTTTCATTTTCCAATTTTTATCTCACATTAAAAATCTATACAAAAACATTGCGCTTCGTAAATCTCGAAACAAACAAAGGAGATTATTGCATCAACGCCAAGTAACCATACGTAATATGAGAATGGTCTTTTACCATTGCCAGATGGCATAATAGGAGAAAAAAATTAAAGTGATTTTTTTTCTTTCCCAAAACCAATTTCAACATTTTGTATTAAGAATGCCACAACGTCCACTTACACTTTAAAAGCTTGCTGAAAAAGAGATAGTTGTGACACGTGTCTGCAACAGTCTTTGCTACTGCTGAATACTTAAACTTAATGAATGCATATCCTTTAGACTTGCCGCTCTGAAAGTGAAACAAAAAGAAGAATTGAGAACAGAGGAATACATTGACATGCTATTAAACAGTCAAACAATTACACCCTTTCCAGCTGTGCCACTCCAAGCCAACAAATAGAATAAGTGTCATTTTTGCTTAGTATATTGACCAACATAAATATTAATTTTCTTTTTTAATAGCTTTCCAGCCTTTATTCCACACTCATCAAGGCTTTAAAAAAAAAAAAAAAAAAGAAAAAATCTTCTTTTTACATTTTTATTCTATTCATAGTAAATAGTTAAATGAGTTATGGATATATCAGATGAAATGCTCAGTGCAAACAAATAGAATAAGTGTCATTTTTGCTTAGTATATTGACCAACATAAAAATTAATTTTCTTTTTTAATAGCTTTCCAGCCTTTATGCCACACTTATCAAGGCTTTAAAAAAAAAAAAAAAAAAGAAAAAATCTTCTTTTTACATTTTTATTCTATTCATAGTAAATAGTTAAATGAGTTATGGATATATCAGATGAAATGCTCAGTGCATGAAAGAAAATTCAGGCATGGGAAATTGAAATTATGGTAATAATCAAAGAAATTCTGCAAAGCAGTAACATTTAAAAGTAATTTACCTTACTGGATCTTGATAGTTTAACTTTCAGAACTTTGCCAAATTGTGAGAAATATTGGAAGAGTTCTTTTTCAAAAAATCCATGGGGAACATGTCCTATGTAGACAACTCCTGGCAAACGATCTTCTTCTGTGATCTCAATCTATATCCGAACAAATTACCCCAAACAAAAATTATAATTAGTTAGGCTACTTATGTTTAAAAAAATAAATACCATTATTAATTTTAAAATATTTATAATGGGCTTATTTTGCAACAAAAAAAATCTGCATAAATTTGTGTTCCTTACCATGTGACTCGCATATAGAAATATAACAAATCTGCTATCTCCCCTAGCATAGCCAGGTTTTGACGCGATAGTAACCCTTTCATCTGCAAACTCTCAAAACATTCCTACAGCATGCCCAGAAACATTTTCCCCAAAACTATTTACTAAGATCACTTTTCCCAGAAAACTATTTTGCAATGTTTCATCATCTAGTTCCCGTACCACGACAGTCTCCTTCTTTTTTGACATAATTTATTCTGACTGTCAATGAAATGGCAATGCCAATGCAACTTCCTCTCTTTGTCCCCATTGGCCCATTGCATGCTGTACTGTAGTCAATTGTCTCAGAATAAAGCGACCGGTAGCCAGAGCTCGATTAAATGGACCTCATGCATAAAATATGCAAATCAGGATATCCCATTGGCATAAATGTTGAAATTTCATTCTGAATCATTAAGATTGTATTAGTTCATTAAATTCCCTACAAAAATATATTTTGCTAAAACGCAGTAATCGGCGATGTGTTCTACAATAAATAATGCAATTGACAGGGCCAGTGATGTATTCAACAGTATATAATTATAATATATAAGTCATGGAGGTTCCCCAGCCCCAGGTCAACATTATTTTATCTCACTATTTATTTGATACAAGTTTTTTTCCTCTTTGTCCTGAAAGTGGTGGGAAGAGTTTGGGAGGGGTCTGCCCTCACCAGAAAATTATGTTGAAATGTCCAGTGAAATTGGGACATGACTGATACTGATATAGAAATGAATATAGTATCCTGGTGCTTCATTTTCCAAACAATTAAATGACAGCTTTTTTAAACAATGTGTGTGTCTTTTTTCCCAGTTCTCCATCGACCATCAAATAAGGCCAAAGACACCAATGAAACTGAATCAAACAAGAACAACTAAATTTCTAAACCACTGCACAACAAATGAGGGACGTTGTCGTCGTTGCAATACTGGATATTAAACGTCAACGACCAACCAATCTTAACGAAATGCTATTGAGGTACTTCTACTTCTAGCGTCAGGTGGTAAATATTTATAACACAAATTATGATTATTAAAAAAAAGGATAAAAAAAACATGGAAGCTAGATCAACAATTAATACCATACCTTTTGAGCATTTCCATTTTTGGCAGATTTTCGTTTTCTTCGCGTGGTGGCTGCCATCTTGTTTACAAGGAAAGAGTAAAAGTAAAACTTTTTGATAACTCAAAATATTCGGCTCAAAATTTCCTTAATTTTTTGCGATTTATATATATATTATATTAATACGCAGACTCATATCCCGAATGAGTATCTGAACAAAATTTTGTGTCTAAATTACTTAAATTTAATTAAATTTATATATATAATAATATAAATAATCTTTTTGTTGCTTTTGAACCAGGATGCTGGATTTTTTTTTTAAAATAGTATGGTCACTTAGTATAAGTATAGTCTTTTTTTATAGTCTATTGTCTATACATTTATTGACTATAGTTAATACTAATAGTTATAATATAAATAGTGTAGGCGTAGGCCCATTTTTGGCCCTTTGGCGTAGTTAAGCAGATTTATAATTTTAGAAAAACTCAATAACTATATTTTCCTTCCCTGAACGGGTTGTTGACCTAGAATGAAAATTTGACCTGTATTCTTCTCAGGATTTAACCATAAACAATCAACGATTAGAAAGAAAGAAGAAAAAAATGATGGAAATGAAATCCCCCACATTCACATCATTTATTTTTTTCATAAATTATTTACTTTCTGTGCATTCTTAATCAACATTTTTTTGGCGTGTAATTTTAGAAAAACTCAATAACTATATTTTCCTTTCCTGAACGGGTTGTTGACATAGAATGAAAATTTGACCTGTGCCCTTCTCAGGATTTAACCATAAACAATCAACGATTAGAAAGAAGAAGAAAAATTGATTGGAAATGAAATCCCTCGCATTCACGTTATTTATTTTTTCATAATTTTTTTACTTTCTGTGCATTCTTAATCAACATTTTTTTAATGATAAAATATTATTGATGCCCCTTGCTCGTGAGTTGAATAGCACAAAAACAAATATGATTTAAAAAAAAATCCTATTCCTATATAATTCTTGGATTTTAACAACTAAAAAGGATTGTACTGAATTTAGTATAGTGAGTAAAATAAGAGGTTTAACATAACAACCTGACAGGTCGTTTCTACTGGCTCGGCAGTTAGCAACACCGCACCAGGGCTACCACACCTTGGGAAATTTCCCAAGGTCTTGGGAATTCACGACCCCCCTTGGGATCTGGGGAATAATTTTGAAAATCATGCAAAACCTTGGGAAATCTTAACTGGGGGGAAAATTTTGTTATATTTTTCGAAAAAAATGCAACAATATCTGATAAAAAATAAAGTAAAAATAAAGCAAAATAATTTTTAAAGTAACAAGGCAAAAAATTAATTGTTTTCATTTTCTTTTCTGGTTTTAATTTTTAAATCCACTCATAAAATAAATAAAAACTCTTCTGATTTTAAAGTTAATATTGTGAATTATTAAAAAGTTAATAATTTTTTTAAAAAATTCAATTTTCTCTTTAAAAAAAAAATTGAAGATTTACAAATTACATCCAGGTTTTGAATGTTTATTAAATGGGGGGGGGGGTAGGCTCGGAAACTTTATCATTATGCTCTTAGACATTAGCAACCATACGAAAAACAGTACAAGCCAAAGAGTGAACGATAGTGTTCAATCAAGAATCCATGCCATAGTAGAATTTTATTATTTCAATTACTTCTACAATGTGTTCAAAATATAATGCATCTGTAAAAAATCCAGCCTAATTTTCATCAATTAGAAAAAATATTTGTGGATTGAAACACGGGTAACTAAGATATTAATAGTATAGGCAGTATAGGCCTACGTTGTAGGATTATAAATGAACAATTCCTTTAAAAGTATTTTTTTTTTTGTGAAAAAATCGTTATAATGTAAATTTTACAAGAAAAAATAAAACACTTATTGTTTTCATCGTAATATCAATCCATTTTAACTACAATTATTATTAATAAATTTTGCTTAATTGCTTTGCAAACCCCACTTGTAATCAACAGATTTACAATAATAAAAAATCATTTTTTGATGAAGAAACTTTTGCCTTTGTAAAAGGAATTCTGTGTTGATTAGCCTTGTATGCTTTTTTTTTCCAAGTGACTTCTATTACACATGTATTGTAGATTATATTTTTATCAGAGAATTCGGAGGTAATATTTAGTAGCCTAACTCCAGTGGGTATTGATATTTTGGATTATAAATTATTTTTTTAAAAACAATTTTTTTTTTTAATGTGATAAACATGTTTTAAATGTCTTTTTCAATAAATTTCAGTCCATTAATATACCATGTTTTTCAGGGACATTGATTCAATCTATTATTACATTAATTACATAGGAAACACCCCTTTAAAAAAAAACAAACTCTTATATGATCTTGGGAAATCTTGGGAAATTTGTTCACCAAATCTTGGGAAATTTGAAAAAAGTGAGTGGCAGCCCTGCACCGCACGTCTTTTTTTTTTTCAAACGTCACATCTGGCTCCTACAAGGTAGATGGGATTCGCGATGTTTCTTTGCCTGATAAATGATATTGAATAAGATATTTTACTAGTTGCAAGGGCTAATTTGCGAGGGTAAGAGGTACGAGGAAGGGGGTTGTTGGAAGCCCTAAGATAAAACAATGTTTCTTTTGCCCCACTTTTGGAAGCTTATTCCAGTCCCTGATGCCTGGTCATTGAATGACAGTGCAGTGATTGACTTTGGGCAGGACTTTCGGCAGAGGTGAGTAAACTTTTTTATCCAAAAAGAGGGTAGCCAAAGAGAGCTACAGTTTATTAAGAATGAAAAGTAATATTTGCCACACTTTATATAAAGCATGAAATACTACTATTAAAATTAAATGTTGGCTCAAATCTTGTACTGGATTGGAGGCACCCCATACTACTACACTAATTTCTTTCTCTGCCTCTATAATTCCACATCAAGAATTCCGTCAATTGGGTATCTGTAATTATTGGCCATCCTTGTTTGCTGCTGAAAGTGCCTGACATCCTTTCCCACTCTCAAATTCATAGCAGTGAGCAGTCTATCCCTTATGATTTATAATTTATACTTATACGTCCATCAATTTCATCAATCCAATCCTGGGTTGGTGAAAGGATCTTTAGGATATTTTACTAATTCTTTGGTTTGCTTGTCACGTACAGGAGTTAATAATTGCACCTAAACCCATCAGGCCGCAGTGAATCGCTGCACGACGCCAACAGAAACTAATGGTTATAAATAATGCTAACAAGGGAAATGGAGAGAGTGAAACTGGATAGATGAAGAAGATCTTGATATCTTAATGGAATATTCATTCATCAGTATGAAGTTATTCATGACCTCCCAATTTGTTCTAAGAAGGAGCATTTCGCTTTGCCATGGGTGAATTGAGGCTAGAATTCTAAGTCGAATAATTTCTGAAGCATTTGTATGTTAATAAACTTTCACCTTGCAAACACTTAATTTTTAATACATGTTTTCCTTTTAAATGATCTTAATGCAGTGCAATTATTAACTTAAAACTAAATAATACTATGATGTAAATAAGAGTTTTGAAACCTCAATTTTCAGTTATGAAAATATGGGGGGGGGGGTGTCTTATGATGTGGTATATGATGTAATATTGGGGGGGGGGGGGGATGTTCAAAATTCAGCAAAAATAGTGTAATGGCCCCTTGTTATTTATTAATGTAACATGAATCCCCTTGCAGAGCCGTTACGTAACTTTTGGTAGTCTCCTTTCACTTTTCGGTTTTGTGCCCCCTGTAGTGTAGTCAAAGCAAAATGTTTTAGTTAAAATATTTTTTCACATCACAATGTTGTCGTTATTGTTGATGTTGGGCCCATTGCCCTTAACTATCTGAGGCCCCCCCCCCCACCACTTTTTTTTGTGTGCAGTGGCAAGGGTAGATAATGCAAATTCACAGAGCCAAGTTAATTCAAACATTAAAAATAATTTTGATATGCCCAGTTTCAATGCTTCAAGTTACCTGTCATTCATTCAGAATAGTTGTCCACATTTTTAAATTCCATCTGTTTTAACTTTGGCCACAAGTATAAGCCAGTCCAGTATTAGACTTTAGGTGATCTCTTTAACTGTTTTTTTTTAAACAGAAAACTTGTCATGAAATTTCATTATAAAGTTTAATAGGTATGCACACATTCCATATCATTTGTCAGTTACTTGATGCTTATTATTATTAAATAGAATGACATTTTTATAAACTTTGATGGAGAATAATTTTTAATTATATAAAAAATATTTTTTTTTAAAACTTAATTAAATTGGTCCAAACCAAGTTCGCCACACTAAAAATGTCCATTTGCCACATTTGTTGGTTGACAGTCGTGTTGCCAATGCAGGGCTTTCAATATTTCACAAGAAAAGGCAGTAAAAAAGAAAAGTTTTATGTACAAGAATTTTACAATTAAATTAACGTAAAAACATAGCAGAGAAATAAATTCAACCCAAAAAACAGTATGAGTATCATTTTTTGAGTTTAAATTGCTCTTGACATAAAAAAAAATTCCCAATTTTGAATTGACACTTGTACAGTGACACAGTTTAGAAAATGAAACATCATTTCTCACAAACCTGAAGTGATGATTATTATGTCTTCAAAGAAATCTTTTTTTCCATAATTAGGATTTTTATTCATTTATTTTATGGCCTTTAATAATTTTTATGTTTAATTTTTATAATTAGGCTTAGGCCTATATTCTCTGGATGTGTATATTTTTATTAGCCCTAACCTTTTGAATTTATTATTCTTTGATTTTCTCTCATTGAAATCATGGTAATACTTCCATTAACAAACATATTTTGGGGTAATAGCTAAAAAATCTCACCTCCACTGGTTTACTCGTATTCAGTAGGGATCCCATGACTCCAACCAGTTCCATACAAATCAGAAAAACTTATTCCATCAACTTACCCATTTTTAAGGGCATTTTTTTTACTTCAAATACTGTGTTTCTATAACAAAACATCAATCATTTAACAAATTGTACAAAAACACCCCAAAATAGTTTCAAAACTTTTTGTAATTTATGCTCAAATTATTTTATTTCTACTTTGCTAAGAATAGTTTTCAAAAGCACTGCAATCACATTAAAACTCTATAGCAGTGTTTCACATTTTTAGTGCCATGCCCCACCTAAGCCTTTCTAAAATTCTTATGCCTCCTATGTATCATATACATAATTTTTTATATTCAGAAATAGGGTTGTTAACTGAAGAAATGATAGGTTTTAGGAAGAAATCACTATGATATTGGTGAGGAAACACTGTAAGTAAATTTTCAAAACATTTAATGGAGAACTGAAATTAAAATACGAAATAATTGTTATGAAAGATTTTTCTATATTATTTAAATTATTAGTTATTTATATACCGTGATATTTAAATTTAGTGAGATGTTTGTGCTTTATGCTGCAAAGAGATTTTATGTTACGTTCCAATTTAGTTAGCTTCAGTCTCAAGTCTCCCCATTGTGTTATACCCAGTCAATTTTTGTTCTTCAAGAAATCATTTATGGCACTAAATCCACATTCAGCTAAATAGGAAGTTGGAAATGGTAACAATAGTTTTCTTGCACATTTGGTTGAATTTTGATATTTGATTTCTGTTTCCTCACAAAGCCATGCCATCACTCCTTTTATGTTGAATATAGTTTTAATTGAATCATCATTTTGCATTTCTGCAAGTTCTTCTTGATACTGCATATTTGAAATATCAGACAAATCCCTAACATCGGCTGCATCATTCAAGTGTTGGGGAAAATCAATTTGTTACAAATCAGAAAATCTTTCTTTTAAATCAGCCGATAGAATTTTCCCATGATCGACAAGAACAAGTATAGTAGTATCAGTCACCTCACTTTTTTTGATCTAATGAAACTTTTCAAAATTGT